GGGAATAAAATGAAATGTGAAAATGCATGAAAAGTGTCAATTCACGGAAATCACATTTAGACTCGCTCACACTGCATCACTGCTTTTACACGCTGCTTTGTGCAGCGTTGAGCCTTATAAATAATCACATGCGTTTCTGTTGAACTTAGGAATTGACTAATAAGAGGCGCTTAGATTGGTGAGTGTGCACGCTCGCGAATTTCCTCATCATAAACAACACAGTGCAGACACGATAGAGCAAATACTACATCTGGGAACATATTCAGTAATATTATCAAAGCAAAGATGCAGTAGATCATCCATCATCCCCCCTAAAGCTTGCACAGTCCTTTACCACTTCTTGGATCAACATTTCACTCTGTAGCATTAGGCAGTTTTCATTTATATGCCGTTAGTGTTGATGATCGCATTATTTTTCATATGCATATGCGATATGAGATTACTCGTTTCTGCGGCTTCCTCACCTGTGCTTTTGATCGAGTGATTCTAGACTCATTCAGGAGATATAATCTGCATAGCAACGCCCTGGTAACCACCCAAAGCAATTTAGAATTGAGCTGGTCAGTTTTGCACAGGCAAATGGCAATCACAGTATCTTTAAAAAACTGTAAAAAAAATGTAAAGTGATGTGACATGTGGCCAAGTATGGTTACCCATACTAGGAATTAGTGCTCTGCATTTACCCATCCTAAGTGCACACACACAGCAGTGAACACACACACACCGTGAACACACACCCGGAGTGGGCAGCCATTTATGCTGCGGCGCCCGGGGAGCAGTTGGGGGTTCGGTGCCTTGCTCAAGGGCACCTCAGTCGTGGTATTGAAGGTGGAGAGAGCGCTGTACATTCACTCCCCCCACCTACAATCCCTGCCGGACCTGAGACTCGAACTCACAACCTTTGGGTTACGAGTCCAACTATTAGGCCACGACTTAGTGTACCCAATAGTAGTGTACTTATTAATGGTGCCAGTACAGAGAGAAAACGAAATGATCAGGACACTGAGAAAAGCCAGATGCTACAACCGCATATGGCGACGGCAAAACACAGCAGCAGCCGCGGACGAGAAAATTTGTCAACAACGGCACAGACAGGAAAAATCCTGGGTGTCCCCACTGTAAACCCAGAAAGCACATGGACACCGTGTTCCACCCGCGTTCCACGAGATGCCAAAACGAACGCTGTTCATCATTTCCTAAAGAATTTGCGAATTCTGCAAAGTGGCTTGTTAAGGAGCTGACAGCGATCCTCCTGAGGAAGCACACGCAACAACTTTACAGTGATTTAGACTCATTCGGGGGCAGTAAAACTTCATCTAGAACACATGCTCCAGCAGTAAACAGCACGCCAACAAGAAGCGACTTGGAACACAACTGAAGCTGTGAACTTTGACCCAAACGCAAGAAAAGCGCCATGCTGCTATCGGTCAAGTTCGCGCCACATGCGTCCGATGTGTGTCATAGAATCTGAACGCTCGTTTTCATGAAACACAAAGAGAGAGACATTCTTGGCTTTATCGTCTGCATCACGCCCGCCGCTAGCACAACTGTCTCAGACGGACCCTGGCGAGCCGCGAGTATCTGGCCCGTCGCTAACCATGTGCAGTTACTCAACATCTGCTTCTGATATTGTGTACTTGGTACATTCTGAAACTGATTTTTCTCCCGCATTTGTCCTGCTTCTGTCGGTCGTACCAGTGCATGAATGAGATTCCGTTTAATGTCATCTGTATCTAATGTATCTAATGTAATTAGATACGGATCATCACATACTGTACATAAACATCTGCTATAGGGCTGTTCTGATGAAGTGTTAAGGGCAAGATCATCTGATATGGATTAGTGTATAATAAAATAGAAATAGAACAAAAATAAAGCTGACACAAAATGTGAAACCAAGCCTTACTTATCTTTGAAATGAATGTTGTTGACCTTATTGTGACTGATTTAACTATACAGATGTTTATTCAATTTACTTATTTATTTTACAAATTTGACCTCGCAAGTTTTTTATTAAAATATCATGGCTTCAAGAATATCATAACTTGACCTTCTAGTGAACTGATAAGACTAATCTATGATGCCGTATTTCAGACTTCAATCACTTTGTGAGCTTAAGCCCTGTCCCTTTTGTATAATTAACTGCAAGCTTGCATTCAGACCTGCCTCCATCCAATCGTTAATCAATAGATGGAACTAAGACCCCGCCCTTTTTAGTTTTTTGATAAAATTACGTCCCAAACTGGAAGAATAGATGTGTCAATAGGGTTGCAAAGGGGTGGAAAAATTCTGGTAAATTTCCGGAAACTTTCCAAAAATCCCTGGAATATTCCAAAAAATCCTGGAAAGTTTCCAACATTTCTGGAATATTTCCGAAATTGACTGGAAATTTTCCACCTTTTTGCAACCCTACGTGTCAATAAGACTTCTCTGCGATGATGTATTTCATATTTCTCCAATCATTTAACTTGCTTAAACCCCGCACCTTTCGTATAGTCGACTGCAAGCTTGCATTCAGCTCTGCCGACATCCAATCAGCAACCAACGGATGGAACCAAGACCCCGCCCGTTTTCTTTTTTGATAAATTTACGTCACAGTTCAGAAGAACAGATCTGTTGCTAGTTCCGTTACATCGGGACTTTAAATCACAGCGCGAAGTACAGAAAATCCCAAACTTCAGAGAAATAAAACACTTGATGCCACTTAAATGCTAAACTTTGTTCTTACTTCTTGCTCAATAGTTCTTGCTTTGTGAACCTGGTACGACAACCTCGTTTCCAGATGGACCAATTAAAAAAAAATGGTACTTTACTCCAGGAAGCTGACAGCCAATCAGATTGCCAGATCAAAAAGTCTGAAAGCTTGCCACTTGTCCCAAAACAACTACATTAAATAATTATAAAAATGGGACAAGGCATCAGAAATATGAAGTCAACTATATAGTGATTCATAATTTCTGCATGATTTGTACATGACCCTGACCTGTGGAAAAATACGTTTTTTTTCCAGCTGGACATATGTTTCTCTGATTATTCTTCATTACAGGTGAAACGCTAAGTTACAAATGATTATAACACAGGCTATTTGTGCTAAGGATGATTCATTAATCACTGATTATTTGTGGTTAATATTTAACCCGATCAAGAACAGTAATAAAGCAAGCAAACAACAAATAATTAACCTAAACCAAATATGCTGCAGCACCAGTTCATGGTAAAATTTAATTTGAATGCAAATGCCACTTCTACTATTTGAACTGAACTGAGCTGGATGATGACACTACTGAATTCAATGTATTATTTTTTTTTGCATTAAATTATATTTTTTTTGCATAAAAAATTGCATTTGCATTTTTGCATTGCATTTTTGCATATTTTGCATTACTGACACACTATCTTCCTATTTAATACTGTAAAGCTGCTTTGACACAATCTGTATTGTTAAAAGCGCTGTATAAATAAAGGTGACTTGAGCTGACTTCAAACATCATTATCCAAATATTGCTAAATATAATGCCAATAAATACAGCTGAGATTGACAATACTGTTATTTCAATAGTATACTTCTAATTTGCCCACAAATGAATGTTTTTTAGGTTTTATCAACATTTAATTTCTACACATGCTGACTACAGCCACTCACAAGCAGCCCGGCAACCCATTCAGCCAATCACAGTGCTCCTGGAACTCACTCGACCAATCACAAGCATTCAGCCAACCACTAATGCCCTGGCTCACTACAGCCAATCACAAGAACCCCAGCAACACAGCCATCCAATCACCAGCGCCCACTCAGCCTCCATATATGGAATGCAAACACAAATTAAATAACAGAATCCCACTGAGCAGAAGCAGAAATGGTCAGGGTGGGTCAGCAGGACCAAAGCAGAAGTCATTTATCATCATCAGCTGAGACCAAAACCCTCAACAAACCCCCAACATCACTGTCCTGACTGCACTTAGCAAGAGCGCCACCATGTGGCTCACAGCAGAACTGCAGACAACTGGGATGAAAACAGCATGTTTTTGACATAAATGCACAAGGGCCGGATTCACCAGACATTCTGAAGAACAAAACTTTTTATTATTAAATAAAAATATTAAATATACATAGACAGACAGATAGACAAATGAATAAAATTAAATCAACTAAAAGTATTTTATTCTTCTTTTCTAACTTAATAATAAAATTAAGAATATTTTGTATTCTCAAAAACATTTCTTAAGAATGTTCTTCTCGTCAAGACAGTCGCAGTGTGTTCTTATGATTATTATGGCTTATTATGATTCATACGATGAGATGTTTTTCATTAAACTGATAAGCAAGTCTTCGGTAAAATAGTATAAAATACCCAAATATTAAATTATTATTAAAATATGAATAAATTATTTATTATTTTTAATTATTAAAATAATTATTTAAATTGTTACATTATTTTCTTCTTAAGAAAATAAGATGACTACATGATGACACACTTTAATAATTAGATATTAAATAATAGATAGTAATTTCATGTTGTTATATTAATAATATTCAATGTTAATAGTATTACAAACGAATATACAGACATTAAATAGGTATTAAAATGTCATTTTAAACTAAATTATCATTATGACAATTTTTCATTTTAAATTATTAGAATTGTCTTAAAAAAACAAAAACTGCATGATGATGCACACACCGAACTTTAATAATCAGGTGTTATATAATAGATAGTAATATATACAGTGGGTACGGAAAGTATTCAGACCCCCTTAAATGTTTCTTAGGAGCTGCTTAGAATTTATCAATGCAAGATTTTCTTGAATTAGTTTTATATTTGACATAAGAATGTGGTACAGATATTGTGACTCTTCCCTGTCAACTCAAGGAAACCTAAAGACAAATATTCATAAACCCAGAGACTTACGCTCTTCTGAAGATGGTGCGGTTCTCCCGGTGTTTGCTGAACACTTTGGGCAGAAACTTCAGGGTGACTTTGACTGCTCTGGCTTTTCTGATCATCCACATGCCCTTAAATAGACAGGAAGAAACAGAGCCCATGTTTGCACCTGGTTTTGATGTGTGCATCAGGAACAGATCTTCACAGGCCTCACCTCCTTCGGGTGTCGATGGCTGCCGAGCATCACGGCGTCTCTGTTGGACTGCTGTGACAGTCGAGCCGTGTCCTCCAGAAACCTGTAATCTACACCACAGCACCTCAGTGATCACATCCATTCAGCTGTTTCTGTAAAGACGGCGCGGTAACACTTTACTTGAAGGGGTGTGCATAAGACTGACATGGCACCTTCATAATCATGACATGACACATGTCATGAATATGAAGGAGGTTTTATGCATGTTTATGACAACTGTCATTAAGTGTCATTCGCTCAGTTATGTAATTTTTTATGCAAATATGACATTATTTGACCTAACCCTAACATAACCCTACCCCTGCCCTTACCCCTAACCATAGCCCATAACAAAGACATCTCAAACAATGTCACCTTTGCATTAAAAATTACATAACTGAGTGAATGACACTTAATGACAGTTGTCATAAACATGCATAAAAAACCATGCATGTGTCATGTCATGATTATGAAGGTGTCATGTCAGTCTTATGCACACCCCTTCAAGTAAAGTGTAACCGACGGAGCAGTTAGGCTACTCACCGCTGAGCAGGCTGATTTCATTCAATTCAGCGAGAGGGACAAACGCCGTCTTGTCCCGAACACCACAGCATCCCGACAGAATCTTATGCTGCTTGACGCAAGCCAAACTACACAAAACCAAACAATAACCCAACAACACTAAATACACACTTGAAGAAAGTTGTACTGTTATTAATGTGTCAAAACATATTATAACTCAGAGGTTTGATCACAGTACTAACACCAAAACGGCGGAAGACGTAACTCGGGGGGAGAAGAATTGTTGAATAAATTGTTATTTTAGTTTTCTTCGCGCACAAAAAGTATTCTCGTAGCTTCTCAAAATTGAAGTTGCGCCACTGAAGTCACATGGACTGCTTTACACGTTATGGACGTTTCTGGACCTGGGAACATTTCGGTCAGAGAGCTCTCGGATTTCATCAAAAATATCTTAATTTGAGGTCTTACGGTCTTATTTTCATTTTTGGGTGTACTGTCCCTTTAAATAATAGATCAATTATAAACAGGGGTCTGATCACAGCATTAACACTGACTACAGTGATGCATGACTTCACAACATCATTACACTGATTGTCATTAATAGTGTACAATAAACCTGAGTAAAGTTACATCCAGGTGTGTGTGTGTGTGTGTGTTACCTGCAGGTGTGTCTCATGCAGCTCGGACATCTGTATTTGGCCTCTTTAGTCTCACAGATGTCACAGCTGAAGAAATCATATGCAATTTATCAATAAATCAATAAATACAGGTTTTTAAATGTCATGACAAATGAAGTTAAATGGCATTGGCACAATGCTGATACATACAGAATACAATAATGTGCATAAAAAATAATAGCAATAGTAATAATTTGTTTTTACAGCGATGGAATGGTAAATACCATGGTAAGTTAAATATACTATAGTACTGAATTATACGTTGCTGATATTATTTCTAACTGTAAACAGATGTTTTAGCTGAATTTAACGTTACACAAGCGAATGTATACAACAAGACTAGCAGAAATGCGACACAGATGTAAACAGACCTACACAATCACTGTGATTTTACCCTGTTTACATGTTTAGACTACAGTAACTGACCTGGACAAAGCCATCTTGCGCTTAACTCCTCTCCGACCATCATCTGCTTTATCGTTGCTGTCCATAACAGGTAACATACTCACCACATCAACACAGGAGAGTTTTTACATGGATTCATTCGATAGTCTCTGACCAAAACACCGAGCACGTGTGCTGCGCTCCACACGCGTCTGCCGTCTTCTGCGCTCTCTTTACGACAGTTTTCTGCAGTCGGAGTGCTTATGTTGTGAATGTACAAAACTGTCAGCTGAAATATCCACAAAATAAAAAACAACACTGAAATGTGTGGGTTATCTATCAGTCAGATGCTTGTGTAGGTTGTGTCTGGGTCCCAAGCGAGTTTTCTGTCAGAATCATCACTGGTCCAATTCATTTTTAACATTAAAATAAAATGATACACGGCGTAATTAAGACACCCAGCTTTGATGCTAATATATTTTACACTTCTAGACTAAAACAATCAGATACAACAATAATTTCTCAAATATCTATTACAATACACTGAGAAAGTTTCACTTGAATGGTTTGAGATGACTGGATGCTTTCTGATTTCCTATTGAACTCGTGAACTGCAGTGCTCAAACTATTTAAAATATAGTGAATTAAGTTACAAACTCGATCATAATGCACAGTGTTTCCATCTAGCATGTATTTTGAGCTGCATTTCATATTAATGGAGTGTTTTCACTAGTTAGCAGTAACGTTAAACCGACTACCTCACCTGAATATGTTCGTAGATTTGTGTTGGATGTTTCGACGTGGAAAGCAGTTATCTTTGGAATGGAAATAAGGAAATTGTATTTGTAAACATCATACATTTTTTGCTTATTTCAGTTAATATCATAGCGAGCTAGGCCAGTACTGACAGTGTCGCGTAAACATGGCTGAAGACGCGACAAGCGGAGGAACAGACAAACCGTGTATATTGAAAATAGCAGAGGGCCTAAGACAGATCCTTGTGGCACTCCATACTTTACTGGCATTAATTGAGATGATTCCACGCTTAAAAAAAAAAATTGATAACGGTCGGACAGGTAGGATTTAAACCATCTTAAAACCTGCCCTTATATATATATATATTACATTTATATTTAGTCATTTAGCAGATGCTTTTATCCAAAGCGACTTACAAATGAGGACAATAAAAGCAATCAAAACCAACAAAAGAGCATAAATATACACAGTACACACACATATTATGTAAACAAAAACGTTTCTTTTGGATGCGATTAATCGCGATTATTCATTTGACAGCACTATATTTTTGTATAATATAGTGAATATTTTATTATTTTAAAGGAAAATAGGATCTAAGTATATTCAGTGTTGGTTATATGTAGACAGACACCATGACAAAAAGGCCATTTTTATTCATAGAATTAAATAACTCATGAGAACATTGGGATTAAACCATACATTTTATTTAATGTCAAAATATTAGATATTTACATTTTTCGTCTTTGTTTTGTTTCTGTAGGTACATTTAGTAACAGTTTTGATACTGTAATCATAAGTTAACAGGTGTTACACTTCCTGTGTGTGATCATGTGATCTGAATCTGGCCAATCGCAGCTGCCAGAACAACATATACTCCCATATTTGTGTTTATATACAAATACAAATTTGACATAAATAAGATTTCGAACTAAATGGTGAGCGACCAGAGAGATCTCTGAGAGATATAATTTATTGGAGTACAGTATTTTTGGAGAAATAAAAAGATAACATAAATAAACAAACATATAATGTCCAAATATACATAAGGGGAAAATAAAAAATGACTAACTCATTGCTAACGCTGAATACGGCAGCACCACGGAGAAGTCGACTGACCCTGACCTTATGGAAGCACGTTTCCACAACGAATTGCAGTAATTGTGACTTTTTATCTCACAATTCGGAGAAAAAGGATGTCACAAATATCTCATAAGATTTCTTGTAAAGCATGTGAACATTTAAAATGGTTTCAAATAACAATGTCACAAAAAAATCCTTGTTCTTCGATTTCATGTATGTGAGATACTCGTGGCGTCTCTTTAAGGGTCACGAGCGAACTTTCTCCTTAACGTATAAAGTATATTAAGCCGATGTTAACATAACTTATCAACACACTGTTCATATAAATTAGGTTTGTTGTGATCGAAATGACCAAACGCAAAAGTACAAAAGAAATAGCACAAACAAACAACTTACGGCCAGAAACATACTGCACGCAAATACACCAATGCAAACGACTGACTGATGTGCATAAAATTATGCATCCTTGTGTTTCTGAGGTGCTCAAAGTGATTCCTACAAATGTAGGAACCTCGTCTGTAGCTGTTTCCATCTAAAACTTGCGACCAAACGCAAAAGTACAAAAGAAATAGCCAGCACAAACAAACAACTTACGGCCAGAAACATACTACACGCAAATACACCAATGCAAACGACTGACTGATGTGCATAAAATTATGCATCCTTGTGTTTCTGACAAATGTAGGAACCTCGTCTGTAGCTGTTTCCATCTAAAACTTGCAAAAAAATTCAAATATCGCATGAAACATTTGTGAATAAAATGCAGTTTCTATACCATATGTTTAAGCAAACAAAATCTTCACTTCCTGAGAAACTGGCGCAAAGTATCAGTAATAAAATAATAAAAAGTTGCTGTAAATGTGTTTCCATCGTAGTTTATGTGCATGTTTTCTTACTGAACAATAAAGTAGCCACCTCAAAATTTTTTTATGATTTATAAGATTTAAATGCACTTCTTGGAGTTTCCATCCAGCATTTTTATACGATACCCAATTTGTTTCATGTTTTTAATGTGATACCCCAATTTTTTTCATTTTTTATGTAATACCCAATTTTTAAAGATTTTATGTGCTTCTTGGCATTTCCATCCAGCATTTTTTTTAAATGTGAAACCCCAAGTTCTTTTAAGATTTTACGCATTTTTGCAATTTCCATCCAGTGCTTTTATGCAAAACCCCAATATTTTTACAAATTCATGCACTTCTTGGTGTTTTCATCTGGATTTTTTAATGTAACATCCCCCCCCCCAATGCGATTTCTGGCTTTTCCATCCAGTGTGTTTTTTTTTTATGTGATACCCCAATTTTTAAAAATGTTATGCACTTCTTGGTGTTTCTGTTCAGCGTGTTTAATACGATAGCACAATTTTTTACAATTTTAATGCGCTTATTGGCATTTTTATTCAGCATTTTTTTTAATGTGAAACCACAATTTATTTTAAGATTTTACACATTTTTGCCATTTCCATTCAGCATTTTTTATGCCAAACCCCAATTTTTCACGATTTTATGCATTTTTTGCCATTTCCAGCAGTGCTTTTATGCATAACCCCAATATTTTTACGAATTCATGGACTTCTTGGCGTTCCCATCAAGATTTTTTGTAATTCCCCAAAATGTTCTGCTTTTTATGCACTTCTCGGTGTTTTCATCTGGATTTTTTAATGTAACAACCCCCCCCGCCCCCTTTTTTTTAATTTAATGCGCTTTTTTATGTGATACCCCAATTTAAAAAATGTTATGCACTTCTTGGTGTTTCTATTCAGCGTGTTTCATATGATAACACAATTTTTACAATTTTATGTGCTTCTTGGCATTTTTAATCAGCGTTTTTTTTTTTATGTGAAACCCCAATTTATTTAAGATTCCATGCACTTACTGGCATTTAAATCAAAATGTTAAAGATTATATGCACATCTTGACACTTCCATCAAATGTTTTTTATATGATGCCGCAATTTTTTAAGATTATATGCACTTATATGCGTTTTTATGCAATACTCCAAAATTCCTTTAAAAACACGTGAAGGGAAACATAGCTTTTTTAATGTGAAACCACAATTTATTTTAAGATTTTACACGTTTGCCATTTCCATTCAGCATTTTTTATGCAAAACCCCAATTTTTCACGATTTTATGCATTTTTTTGCCATTTCCAGCAGTGCTTTTATGCATAACCCCAATATTTTTACGAATTCATGGACTTCTTGGCGTTCCCATCAAGATTTTTTGTAATTCCCCAAAATGTTCTGCTTTTTATGCACTTCTCGGTGTTTTCATCTGGATTTTTTAATGTAACAACCCCCCCCGCCCCCTTTTTTTTAATTTAATGCGCTTTTTTATGTGATACCCCAATTTAAAAAATGTTATGCACTTCTTGGTGTTTCTATTCAGCGTGTTTCATATGATAACACAATTTTTACAATTTTATGTGCTTCTTGGCATTTTTAATCAGCGTTTTTTTTTTTATGTGAAACCCCAATTTATTTAAGATTCCATGCACTTACTGGCATTTAAATCAAAATGTTAAAGATTATATGCACATCTTGACACTTCCATCAAATGTTTTTTATATGATGCCGCAATTTTTTAAGATTATATGCACTTATATGCGTTTTTATGCAATACTCCAAAATTCCTTTAAAAACACGTGAAGGGAAACATAGCTGTGTGTTCTTATAAAAATCGTCTACGGATTAACTACTCTAACTTTATCTAACTTGCTTAGCAAGACTTTAAAGCTTTAAACTGCACCTCCACCGTGATTTAAAAGAAAAACTGACTGTAGAAGACAAATTGCAAAACACAATGATGCACCAAACGGAGTTTGCATTTGTGTACTTGCGTAGAGTTTGTTTCGGGCCGGATGCACCTGAACGCGAGCACCTGTACGTGAAGGAGGTAGAGCACCATCTAAAGAGTCCAGGTCGGCCTTTTCATAGTTCGCTAACAAGATCAACCTCGTCTATCTAGCAATGATTCGAGATCGAACGCACGATCCGCAAGGACTTCGCCCGAGACTTTCTGAACCACAACAGATAAAACACAACAGCAGTCTCTCAAAAACACTCAGGTTGGAGACGCGCTTGTTCTTCGGGACGTCCCAGGATCGCTGCCATCGCTCAGATCGCCGCTGCTCTGATTTGAGGATCAGGACCGTTTCAAGTCCTTCAGTGATTTCACAGGAAGCAAACAGGACCCACTTCCACGTGCCGCTGGTCTCCTGGACGTGAGGGATGGACGCCTTGAATGTCCACGATGGGAAGCTGCTGAGTGTCCTGGGTTTGAAACAGGAATCGCGACTGGTGCCAGCTGCCATCACGGATCTGTTCAGAAAAACAGGCAAACATCTAGATACATTTTCTGGAAAATAGGTCGCACTGGGTCAAAATTGCATTGTTAATAGAAAAAAAGATTAATATTAATAATAAATATTAATTAAAAAAGAAATACTTTTTGTATTATACCCCCAAAAAATATTAGGCCTAAATTTAAAATGTATGTATATGAACTGCATGTAATATTAAGAGCATACATTTTTATTACAGTTTTAACAAACTAAGAAACTTGAGATTCATATTTGTCAGTCATGCATAAATGAAATGGGTCAGATTTCTGCACTCAAAAAAAATCATGGTATAGTTTATTATTAACCATATGCATCTATTTGATTTGATTGAAATAATCAGATTTTCAAAATGCATTTATTAGAATCAGCATAAATCTATCGTGAAAACAATTACATTTATTCCATTAAAAAGTATGAACATGGCAAAATATGACTAGCTCTGGAACAAGCAATATTTAATAAGAGCTCTAAAATGTATGAGATTGAAACAAATTTACTTAATTGATGATAAATATATAAAGCTGGTTATTGTGTTTAAAACACATTCAGTTGATTATTACTATTACAGAAATCTGACCCGTTTCATTTATTTATGGACCGTTAAATATT